TATATACCCGCCTACCCTACTAGTAAATACTAGAGCATTCATGAAAAAACAAGATAGTTCTAGAAAATAGAGGGCGCCACACCAGTCACGTGACCTCGATGACGCAACAATAGTTTTGTCAGTAATTTATATGGTTGATAATTAGATTAATGGCTAATCCATTCTAAAACGTTGAAATTGTTACTTCAAAACCAGGCATGTGTGGTACACACTCTGTGCCAAGGAGTATTATTGTACTAAAGCAAAAGTTTTAACTTGCTGCTCCAAAACATCTACCATGGCTTCTGAAGCACATTCTTGTAAGATTTCTTTACACCTTTAAACATTTAGATGCAACCACTTCATGCCCATTCCACAGAATGTAACACATCATGAATCCACATTACAGTATCTTGTAGCTTGCAAAACACAAACGAATTCCTACCTGGTTCCAATCCCCATATTCTGACATCACTTTCAAACTGAATGAATTCATATCACTCCACAAAATTCATTACTGATCATCAATGTTTCAGTGCTGACAGGTTTGTTTGCACCATCAAAAACAATGTTGAGAATACCTGAGGTGGTGTCTGATTTGTGCAACTCGGCTTTCCAAAATACTAATATGTTCAGGGAAAGCAATCTAATCAGATCCCACTGATAGTACCACTTCACGTGTGACTTAGTTGGATGCAGTAAAGTTATTATGATTTTGTTTCAATCATGATTTCTGTCACTTTTTTTTATAGTTCTATGAAGTTTGTCACACTCCAACAGCAGTTTTGGCTGACCAACTTTTTTTTAGATGTTTTTTTATCATGTTTTTAAATGGTCTCATGAACAATGAATCACTCGTAATCCAACATTGCAACTAGTCCAGGTATTGATTTCTTACATTTATAGCAGCCTACTGAGATTTGGAGCTGTAGGATACAATAAATTTGACAGAGATTTGGGATTATTACAATACAATAGGTTTTAATGAGAAATGTGTTGTTATAACATGAGTTTTACTGAAATTTCACAATTAGTATACTACAGTAAGTTTATTGAGATTTAAATTACAGAAGTTGAGTACATTATATTTGTCAGGTTTTGTATAGGAGCCAGATTCTTTACAGTAGATGTCTGTGATTTGTTGGTAATAAATGTCAACAATAAACAGACAGCACACAATGCACTTGTTTTAAAATAATATATATTCAAAACAAGTCAAACATATGTACAAGAACTTGTGACACTATTGTTTACCACAGTTGAATCTAGAGCTTTAAATAATTCATTTTTTAATCAAAAGTCCACACACACATATTGGTTCAGTTACTTTAGAACCCAATTGACAGGACAAATTATTTCTCCTCTTCTCTTATCACGATACAGTCAGTGATAAGTTCACTTAAGTTACCCTGTAGGTTACCACAGTTGTATCCAGAGTTTTAAATTATTCTTTTTTATGTCGAAAGTCCACACAGGTTGACTCAATCACTTTACAACCCAATTGACAAGACAAATTCTTCTTCACTATCTCTGTCGTTACAATACAAACTGTGAAACTTTGAGTTTAGAAATCACTCATTATGGCTAAACTGACAATCAATCAGTCTCTTCACTTTTTCTCACTTTCACTTTCACTAACTTACTTTAATTTCTACTTACTTAATTAATTTTTACTAACTTTTTTAACTTTTCTTTTTGGTTACCACAGTTGTTTCTAGAGCTTTAAGTACTTGTCTCTTTTTCATCAAAAGTCCAAACAAGCTGGGTCAGTTACTTTAAAACCCAAATGACAAATTATTCTTCCTACCTCTGTTGTTACAATACAGCTATGAAACTCATTTTAGAAATTGCCCATCTTGGCTAAACTGACAATCACACATTCTAGATTTGTTTAATTATCTCTTACTTAACTTCTTTCATAACTTAACTTGCTCTCAGTATCTGCACATATTTATAACATGCAACAGAAACATCTAGAAATACCTAGCCCTCCAGTAACAACAATATTAAATATAATGAGAAAAATTTAGAAGCTTCGAGTAAGATGACATCAACAATATTACAAAGGCCTAGTACAACAGTTAAACTACATACACAATGTACAACTCGTGCAAAGTTACGTTACAAAACTTGTCATAACTATCGCTTTTAAAATAATTAACTTTTAACACCCTTGTTATGAAAACGAAATAATAAATAAATATTAAATCACTAAATAAACTAAATAATAACTCTTAAACTAAATAGTCTTATATATGCAACAATATTAAAGGAATTTTTGAAGCCTCATCATGTCAAAAAGTCCATGTTTCCATGTATGGTCATGTTCTATCTGATGGCTGTGCATTTTGAAATTAGCCTTACAGCATAGTTTCTTATGCAAAACACTTTCATGACAAAGGCACATCAGTACATCCTTCAGGCTTTCCCAATCAAATTGTATGAGGATGACAGTTTCCAAATGCTCTTTTCCAACAGTTTGGCTTGACTGGTGTATTTTTGTATGTAAAAGCATGAATACCAGTTTTATTGTCTAGCTGCTTGAGGCATGCAATATTGAATGGATATGTCATGGAGACAACGTTTGCTGCATTTCCAGATGGAGATCCTTCTTGATTGTGTTGAGTACAGTTGTCTGGAACACATGGAATGCTTTTGCCATTGACTTATGAGTTCTTGGATTCTCACATATTACTACATTTGCCTACTGTGGCTGGGATACATTTTGTTGCAGGCCACTTTCTGGATAGGCCTGGCATCTCAGGTCATTCTATAATTCTTTGAGTACAAGGGATGTCCCCATCTTTGATATTCTAAATCCCTGTTCTGAACAGATCTTTATGGTCTGAGTATATGAATATTTTACATCAGAAAGGGCTGTTACATACCATTTCCAAAAGAATCAATTTTCAGTGGCAAACAATCTCAAAATGTTGTTATATTACATGCCGTTGTTTTCAACTTTATACGAGCTATGGTTGTCATGTAAATTGCTGATTTGCATATTCAAAATCAATTTAATATCACATACTCAACCCTATGTATTGTGAGTTTTACTTATATTCTGGGTTATTATACTAAAGTGAGATTTGGAATCAGTATATTACAGTGAGTTCCCCAAGATGTTGATGTTTATGAGTTCTACTAAGATTTGAGATTAGTATACTAAAGTGAGTTTCACTGAGATTGTTATTATTATATAAAATGTATTGAAGGTTTGGTTATTAAAAAATAAGTTGTATTGAGATTTTGGTAATAGTTTTCATGAGACTAGAATTTAGATTTACATAAAGGTTCTACTGAAGTTTGAGAATAATTTACACACTTTAACCTGGAGAAAATGATACTTGGACCAAGGTAAAGCTGGTCATGGCTAAACAGAGATCTGGTGTCGATGTTGTCAGTTATTTCATGTTCCAAAGTGAATTTATTCTGGTATTATTAAATGTAAAAAAATGAGAAATAATTAACTTATAAGATATAGAAAAGTAATTCGATTTAAACATCAAAATGTTTTTTCAATGGCCATAACACATGTAAACATGTTACTAATAGTCTTCAGTGGTTAAAGTGAGGGTAGCCCCTCCCCTCCCACCCAAAGGAGAGCTCCCTTAGCTATATAGAACAGGGATCTAAGAGAAGCTGAAACAATATCATAAGATAATTCAAAGTTTGAGGAGGAACTACAATGAGAAGCTTATAATTATGTGTGAAAATTAATTTTTACAAGGCAAGATCAAAATTACCACTAACTATCCATAATTAGGTGGATATTGGAGTGATGGGTGCTGTGAATCTTTTACTTTGTTAGGCAAGTCATTCAAAGTCATACAACTCTGTTGTTATGAAATGATAGTGATTTTTTCTTCTGTATTTAGTATTTTTTTAATAAAATGTTATACTGGATAGTTTTCAAGAGTAACAGATTTATATTTGTAAGACATTTCCATTAAAACCCAAGTTGGATACCTTCACTGTCGTTACCTTATATATGCAATCTCATATTATTATTTATTTTACCTCAAATTAGGTCATCAATTTATCTGAGAGAAGGCAGGAACTACTGAAGCTTAACAATCAGGTAACAAATTGATTAATAAGTGCATGAAGCAGTTAGTAACTGCTGTAGATAGTTCTTAAGCTTAAGATTATGCATAGCGCCATCTGGCAATGCAATGAGATATTATCACTGAAGTAATATACTGTTTTCAGAAAATGTTTTATTTCACAACATTTTCCATATATATTTTTACACTTTTAAGTATTTATGCTCCAAAAAGTAATTTTTTGTTTAAGCCTGCAGAATGCATTGAAATTATTTACTTTGCTTTGTTTAAATAGTACATAAAAAAGTAAGTGCCATAAACTTTGCCTCCTTCACCTCACACCATGCCTATCTTACCTACCCCTTTCATCAAAATCATATACTCTCGTTGTCCAACGATTGCCCTTTCCCAATAGTTAATATGCTTAATCTCTAAGTAAACAACAATTTCCTCTTGTGGGGTGAAGGAAGATAAATCTTTCTTCGAGCACCCCAGATGTTCACTTCTCGGCAACCAACATTTTAATGCCGATTGTCTCCATCTAAATTCCTATCAGGTATTTTGGATTTGGAAGTGCCAATGATAGCTAAGTTGGGACATAGGAGCAAAATTTACAGTAGAAAGCTCCAAATCATTTTCCTATCTCTTAAATCTATTCTCCAACATAATATCTGTGTAAAAATTTTATGTTCAAACAATAATTCAAGAATCTTATAAAGTTAAGTGAATAAGCAATAACATAAAAACGTAACTCAAAGCAATTAAACTTTTATACAAAAAAACAATCATTAGGGGCACCACTTCCAGTGATTGAGCTATGCAAGTCACCACAGTACATGCCTAGGTCGCATTGAAAATTTATATTTTTTTTTAAATATAGGGTTCTAAAAATTTTCCAGTTTGCCTCATTTTCAGCACTGGGCTTTGATAAAATAAAAAATTATGAAATTAATACTTTAGTTTAAAATATGAAAGCGATAATTCAAACTGTTTGCATATCAGATATTATCGTAAGATGTTTTTGAAATAGTATTCCCAATTTTATATAGACACCCCCCTGCCCGTTTTTTCTTTTTGAATATTTGATCACTTGCTCTAACCAATTTATGTTTTAAATGCTGGATGTCCAACTCCGTGACTTTAAAGAAATGTAAGTTTGTATACTAGAGCACAAATAATAATATTATATATGTGTTGACCTATTTCAGGTAGAAGATTGTGGTTGGCCATCAGATTTAGCACCAGAATTGGATAAAATTTACAAAATATGTGATGTACTAGATAAGTGGCTGAAGAGTAATGCTCAGCACATAATAGTGCTACACTCCAAGGTAAGGCAAAAAAAAAAGTATCAGGTTTCATGCTAAAATACATCCTAAAGTTAGATGTATGTTAGACATGTGACTACACTACATTCACAAGTTAGATATTAATTTGCACATTGTTTCTTAATTATTATATATGTAGCAGTACAACATTTCAAAATTAGACGCGTGTTTGTTCAGTTAGATACTCGTTTGATAAATTAGTCTCTTTGGATCAAATGTTAATCTATTCCTTATCATGATTTAATTTCTAATAACTCGCACTATATCAAAAATGATAAATGTAAGATAAAAGTTTTTAGCTAATATTTAAATCTAGAATCTATTTTTTCCTTTTTATATTCTTTTCTAATTCACAAGTTGAGTAAAATTGATAAAAAATTAAAATATATTTTCAGGGTGACAAAGGAAGAGTTGGTGTTGTTATTGCAGCTTACATGCATCATAGTAATAAATATGCAAGGTAGGTTTCTTTTTTTAGTGATTTGAAACAACATATAAGTATTATAACAAAACCATTTGTCTTGAAGCTGTTGTGCTTACACAACTACCATTTGTAATAAAGTAACATTCTACAACAATACATTTTTATCTTGAGGTATGGAATTTGAAGTAATGTTGTCTGTTAATAAAGATTTATTTGAATTATGACATCATTATAATACTTTATAACAGCTTTTTGAATAGACTGAGTATTTAGCAACTCCGTTATTTATTAAGATTTTAGAGTCATTTGATTGAGATTATTAAAGTAAGTATGTTATAACATGTAACTTATTATAACTGTCATAAATAAGTCATTATATGAGTGTATCCTCTCCTGTTTTTTATTTGTTCTTACCCATGGTTACTAATAAGCAGTGGTTATCCCAAGATTGATATAACTCAATGACAAGTGGTGAATCAAATAATAGATTGTACTTCATATTTGTTCTTAATGTATGAACAGAAGTTTATTATAAATATTTGGTCACCAAAATAATGAGAAAATCTCGCAATGAAGACCATTAAAGTTGGTTTAATTATAATTAAAACAGTTCTACTGATCATCTTTTACTGTGTTTTGTAATAAGGAGCATTTTTATCCAAACTTTTCTATGTTTGTTTTTTTAATTGTTGGTGGTGCTAAGCTGTTTGATATTTTTAAAGTAAATTATTTTCATATTGTACTAAATGTACCATTTGTTTTTGTTTAAATCTACAAGTGACTTATTCTATACAAAGACATTTAAGTAGTTAAATTGAATCAGAACATGACAATTTGAAAAGTTGGGAAGGCAAAGAAAGAAAATATCAATTCCAAAAATGAAAGTTAATTTTTTGTTTGTTATTGTGGTAATAACTGCTGTCAAATATTCAGTTATATTGTGGCAATAACTTTTCTGTGAACAGTGCTGAACAAGCTTTAGACAGGTTTGCTATGAAAAGGCTGTATGATGATAAGTTCTCTGAGAGAATGCATCCTTCACAAAAAAGGTAAGATGAAATGTTTTCATTATTTTAGTATATAATAACTAAGGCAGCTGTACTGTTAAAACCTCTATAGCCTTTGACATGACTGAAAGAACAAAACATACATTTCTAGAACAGTAAGTTTTCATATTTTTGAGAGCATTGGGTTAAACTATTGAACATCATATATCATTAGAAAATGGGCAGTCAGAATATATGATATAGTAAAAAGACTAGGGTACACAGGGATCATTGAAAATAACGTTCATTAAAGTAATTCCCGGAGAGAAGCCCATCCAAATAGAATTATACATCATAGCCATATGCTACAGAGATTTAGTGATGTTTCATGGCTATGTGCTACCGAGGTTTAGTGATGTTTTATAACCATGTGCTACATAGGCTTAGCTAAGTGGTATCATAGTTATATATTCACTTCAAAGAGTAACAATCATTTCATTTGTTCAGAGATTGTTGGATGTAATATAGCAGCAAAATATTTAAGATCACTCTGCTATATATGAATAAACACATGTCGATTAAGTTTTATATTTTCAGGCCTCAGGCGTTAAATTTTCATGAAAAATTATAGTATTTCTTAGATAATTGTATCATTTAGTACGTTTGTCAAAATACAAATTCAACTTAAAGCAGTTTCATACTGTTTAGTATTGCAACACTTACACTTTGTGGGATTTGGTGATCTCTCATCCAGTAAGATATAAGTAAGGGTCCCTTATCAACTGAGGGCTGAAAAGTTAACTTGTTACATAGTATTTTTATGATTTTTAACCTACTCAAGCTACCTGACCATCACATTGTTCTTGTGTCACAAAAAAAGATTAATTCTTAAGCGCAAATAAAATTAAAGCTGGGAACAATTTTTCAGTGGCATTCCAACATCTGTCTTCCCAACAGGCATTATTACCTGCTGTTAGTTTGGCCATTTTTGTTACACCTCAAATTACATGGTCACTTCAAACTTTATTGGCTTTTTTTCATTATCAATGTTTCTTTTTCATTTTACTTCAGTGCTGCCCCTGACTAGTTGTAGCTTTATAGAAAATAGCTTTATTTTATTTGTACTTACCATCATTTGACAAACATGTCCTCTGAATTGTTTAAATGAAAAAGTTTTTTAAAAAACATTTAGATTATTCATAGTTAATCTAATCAAAGTGGAAATATACTGAGAACCTTTACTGATTTTCTAGGTATGTCCAGTACTTTTCAGGACTGTTAACTTCAATGATTAGAACAAACAAGGATACAGTCTACCTTCACAACATTATAATATATGGAATACCAAGCTTGGAATCAAAAGGTGAGTTAAAATGAGGAAATTATCAAAACTAGTTGCTTTTATGAGTAAACAGATGCCTTACTGCATTTTGATAAGAAAGTCACAACTTGCTGTAAGTCATGTATTTAATTAAAGTTTCTGCTCTTCACTTTTGAGAAGGAGAGTGATTACAAAAACTCTGGAAAGTATTCTTTGAAGTTCTTATTAGCACAAATATTATTTCTGAAAGTAGCTAAAAATAATGTACAGTAGAATTTCAATTAATGAGAAACCGAGCTATTAGTGGCAAACCTTTTCAGTCTCTTTCCTACTATGTGTAACCAAAATAAATCTTGCAATAACGGGCACCTTGATATTCCAGATTAAGGGCAGTGTGTTTAGTCTTGTTCTCTATAAGGGCACTCGATAAAGTGGGCAGTTATCTTAGTATGCCTGTATGGTATACCGCTAAATTCCAAACATCCAAGAAGGATGATCAATATTCAAACAATTGTGATGTTCATTGGATCAGCTCTGAACCGTATACTGTAATAAATATTTTCACAGATTCAAAGTGCAGTCTTATTACTCTGGAGAAACATAGTAGGATACATAAGCTGATAAACTCCACATTGTGTTCTCAGAGCAGGGGTCAAGTCGGGTTATTTCTCTGTGTGTGCTATGTTGCTCTCGAGAGTATCGTATTACGGTGTCATGTAAACAGTGTATTGACACAAGCAGTGATTTGTTGCTTTATTTTCAGCAGATTTCTACTTTAGTTGTTGACATTAAAATGTGAAATATTTAGCAGTTCAAACTCTGAATAGAAATACTTTAAAACTTTGTGATCAATAATAAAGAAAAAAGAGCACATCAAATCTATCCCCTGAGACCTCTTGTTGACAATGCTCTATGCCATGGCAATGTGCAATTCAAGAACACCCATGTCCTGTAAACATCCAACAAAATGAGGGGCCTTAAAATTTAGAAATTTAGTACGGTCACTGTGGAATCGAGCTTTGTGTGGCTCATTTTTTATATTAAGTGCACCTTCTTATAGAGGGTATTTGGATGCAGTTGGAAGGGTGTCCTTAATGTTGAGAGTCTACTGTATCAGAATAAGTTAAGTTATTTTTGCCATATGACCACATAAAACTGTCATAGCTGAAACAGCTACTAATTTCACTCTTCTGTAAAGTACAGAATATGTCTTTATTCATGTATCTTCAGATAATTAATCTGAAATTTTATCTAGTTCTGAATGTAGCTATTACAGTCATGTTCCCTGGGCATCTAAAGATTGTAAATATTTACTGATCCTTTTACATAGGTAAAGGTTACATTCTGCAATTTATCTCTCAAGCTAGCATATATGCATTTGTTTGTGGACTTCTAAGAATGTAATCAACTAGTAATTGAAGTATTCAACCTATTGAACATGGGATACCACACTAAGACTTCTGCATGACAATAAAAGTTGGGTATCTACACAGTTCTGGTTCTTGATTCTTGCTGACCTTGTCCTGTGTGGGTGTATTTGTAAAGTCTCCTCTTTACCCCAGCAGTCAGTTAAAGTCAAGAAAGATACAAAAGCCAACCATTTGGTAATAAACACAAAACTTGTAAATAAAGATTTGTTTATTTGTTAACTTGTGTCCCTTTGTTGTCCATGTTTGATTTATTCTCTGCATAACATTTGTAGAAGCAGCATTTTGTGATAGCTTTAAACTTGTCTAATATAATTTGCTTGAATACCTCAAAACTATGCAGTAGCATTAGAACAATAAGGCTTTCTGATTTATAAGTATCTAAAAAGAATTGTCTAGTAGACACATTTTTAAGTAATGCTAAAGCAGTTCAACAATATTTATAAAAAAATGGTAAATAGAAATCAAAAAGTGACTCGCAGTTTGCCACTTTCAACAAGCTTTCACTCAGATTGAAATATTCTGTCACATCTAAACATTTCAGTCAAGTTTATTAAAATTGTATTGGTAATTTTAGGAAACATTATTTATTTTCTTTTTGTATAGGTTTGTAACGAGGCTAGTCTATGATAAAGCTGTGTGTTAGGAAGTTTGATCAATCAGTTGTTATTTGAATTACATGTAATTGTCTATAGCTAAAAGAACTGAAAAACTTAAAGATTAACTAATATGTTTTTGATTAAACCTGAAACTTTGTTAAAGCTGTGGTTTGAACTCTTTGGAAGACTTGAATGTATTTTGTAAATAAGGTTGACCTCTAAACATTTGATATAGTTGATGGAACAGACTCATATGTATGAATATAGAAATCTATGATTTTCACCTTTACATTTGACAAGGCATACATTAAGGATTATTTGCAGATGTCATGATTAATTATAAAGTATTGTTTCCAGCTTTAGTGCTTTTTCTAATACCTTTGGTTTATAGATCTTATTTGGAAGATTATTGTCAGTGATGTAAAAAATTAACCCCCCCTTTTTTTATATGCATGTAAATTCTACTCCACTTGGCAACTTTTCCTGATGAGCAGTATTATGCGCCTACTTTTTTTTTCTTTCCCAAAAAATCTTATGTGTAGTCCAAAAGCATAACAGCATCTTATAGGAGGTTTCACAGATTCATTTTAAAATGAAACCACTTAATGAAATACATTTGTGATCTATCAGTTTTGACACGTTTAGCTGCTGGAAGATCAAGAGCAATGTTATGTCAAAATCATTCAAAAAGTGCAAAAAACCCTATACTAACTATTTCATTATTGAGAGCATCTGAAGTCTATGGGACCTAATTAATAATATGAGGTATTTTCTACATTAGTAAGTTAGTACATGAAATATCCAGAAAACCTCAGGTTCACTTTAACTCCTTAATGTTGCATGTCTATTATTTATAACAAGAATTTTCACAGGTACTGTAGTGTATTTTCAAAAATTAAACCAGACCATAGGAAAGAAAGCTTTTTTTTTAGAGATCATTGTTAATCAAATAACAGGTTTTTTTTTATAAGGTAAGTTGTGTTGACTAAAGTTTTGAAATATTATTTTGTATCTTTTATTTAAGTAGGAAAAATATTAGGTCTTTTTTTATCTGATAACCTTCATAACTTTTTATATATTCCATATAAAAAATATTTTTGAATTTGAGCAAGTTCAAGCAATGACACTTATTCTATTAATTAAGTGATTACTCCACCATATTAACTATTGCAGATTAAAGATAATTTTTTTATGTTTGAAAGTTATTTAGGTCAGTTCAAAGTTTTCTCATTTTTATTCAAATGGTTGTGTAAATTTTTTTGTAGATATTTATACGAGTTTTACAAAATAAAGCTCTAGAAATGTATCATACTGATTATTGTATAATAAGTATTTCTTATACTTGATTTTGTTTACGTATAGGTTATCGACCATTTGTGAAGATCTATCAAAGAATGAAGTTAGTGTACACGTCTGAAGTGCAGTAAGTAAACTGTTCTTTACGCAGTAGATATAATTGTGAAATGATGTGACTGATATACAGAAGATTAGTATGTTATATTAAGATGATTTTGTAGTCTCACCACATTATTACAGCCCAAGCTATGTCCACTCATGTTCTGTCTGATGGCTATGCATCTTGACAATATCCTTGCAGTGTAGTTTCCATTGCAAAAAGCTTCATCATAAGGCTGTCATATCAAAAATACAGCTCTCTGCTGATTTCCATAATCCATCTAATGTACAAGGATGACGGTTTCTCAGTGCCCATTTCAATGATCAGTATACACAGAAATCCATAGGTGCTGTATTCTGCAACTTGCTCAGTATGTATTCATATGAAATAGCATGAATACCCATTTCATTCTCTGGCTGCTTGAAGTATGTGATAGTTGAACAAATATGTTTTGGAAATAACTTATGCTGTTTTTTAAGCCATAGCCCTCTTGATTATGATGTGTACTGTTATGTAGGGCATGTGAATGATTTTTTCCACTGACTTTTGTGTTCCTGGTTTCTCACCTGTCACAAGATACAAAACTTGGCTTTCCACAGCTAGGGTACAGTTTATTGTGGGTCTCTTTCTAGATGGTTCTGGTATCCTAAGTTGATCCTTATTCCTTTGTTTTCTAGTACCATAAAGTACAGGTTATATCCCCATCTTGGGAATTCTAAGTCCACAGTCTGAAAACATCTTTATAATCTGAGTGTTGAGTATTGTGTGTTGGAAAGAGCTGTTATGTACCTTTCCTAAAAGCAATCAATTTTTAGTGGTATTACAGTACCTATGAAACACCAAACAATATCAAAATGTCAGTCCTCTGTGACTTGTTGATTTTATATTTGGAATTGTTTCTCTATAATGCACTCAACCTACTGTATATATATATATACACATAGCTTGTCATTTTACAAGTACATTCATGTTTCATAATTGATTATTCTTGTAGTAAATTTTGGTTATCATAATAAAAAGTATGTTGAGATGTTTTTGCTAATAAAGTCACTGTTATAAACTAAAGTAACATTAAGTTTGTTTTTTTTACTTCAAGAATAATAGAGAAATTTAATGCTTATTTTGAAAGCATCTGAAAAGACAAATTACAAAAGGCAGGTTTGTGGAAAATCTTTTTTAGAACTGTAATGCTTGCTTATGAAATCGTGCAAAGGACAAATACACTACATGTAGTTGAGTAAAATTAATGTACCAGAACTATTCAGGTCTTACTTCTCTGTGCTTTTTTTTTATCCAGCATTGCCACAGAACAGACTCGAAAAGTTCTCATCACAATAAATCCGTGTCTACCACTCTGTGGTGACATTTTCATTAAGTGTTATCACAGACAACAGAAGCCATCTGATAGATCTACAGTGTTCAGGGTCCAGTTTCACACATGGACATTGGACCAGAAACATGTGGTATTTTTAAAGAATGAGCTGGATGATGCCATCTCCGGTAATTGATGAACAGTTTTTCTGTGTCTAAGAAAAAGCAAAGAAAAAATAGAGTATTATCATTTTAAAGCATAAGATAATTTTCTCTATATGAAAATGGGTATTCTGAGAATCTAAACTATTTCTGCTTAGAATTAAGGAAAACCATATTCAATTACAAAATTAAAGTTATTTATTAAAAAAGTACTTAGCTCATTCCTGTAATTATTTACAAAAGGGGAAGGCAAATGCTTGATCTGACTGTAATTTTGTTTGGTGATCTTTGGTGTACTTCAGCCCTCTGGTAGCTGAGTTTGATGTCTTATGTTAAAATTAGGAAGAGGTTCAGTCCCTGTTGTAGGCACAGCTCAAATAGCCCATCATGCATCTTTTCACTTAAACTTTCAAATAGTGTACTTCAGTAAATATTACTAATGAACAATACAATTAGATTTCAGGTTTCCAAGTGATGGGAAGGTGGAACTACAGTTTTCCTTTCACCCTGATGACTTCAAAGGTACATTGTTTTATTTAAAAAAAGTGAGAGAAATGACTACACATTATAATCATCTAAGTTCATTCTGAAGCTAAAATACCTTATTTTATTGCCTTAATTGTTTGCATTTTCATGTAACATAACTTTTATTTTATGATTAAAATTAGAGAGTTTAAAGGTCATTTAAGTGTAAAAATTCAAAAGTTGTTGTTCATGAAAATTGATAATATATTTAGCACTTAGCCAAATCCTATAACTGTTGTATACCTAGCTGGTCTGATGAATCTGGGTAATGGGCAAAAGGCTTCATCACCACTGGATGTAACAGATGTAGTATGGTTGTTACATTATAACATATTCTCCTTTGCTTTAACTCATGATTTCTTAGAATTTATCCCAATAAAAAGTAAATTAACTTTTAAAATTTCAAATAAATGTTCTCCAAAGATAATTATAAAACATGGCTTAAAAAAATCAGTCTATAACCCAAAACTGAAATAAATTTCCCTGGTTCTAGAAGACAAAATTTTTAGAAGCTGCTCTCAGATCCTGTAAAAGGTAATAATTGATTTTAAAAAAATTCAAAATATTGAACCAAACGAAATATCATATTTTTTGTACTGATGAAACTTCTCTAGTGTTTCAGACCACATCATCCTTATGTTTTATTCATGATTGCATTGATTTTTAACATAACACAATATTTACAATTTTCATTTATTATATTGTATGTTTGATGTGTGAATTATTAATGTGTCATCACATTTAATCTCTTTTTGACTTATGACTTTTATAAGTAGTTTCTTTTTGTATCACATATGTAGTCATTGTCTCAAAATACTTTCATTATAAAAAATAAAATTACTATTTTTGTGGTTATCGTGACTTAAAAATGGTATTTTCTAGGAAATGGTTCTGTTCACAAACCAATGACTGCATCAAATTTCTCTGATTCCATAGTCAGATGGGATTCTTATGAAAACTTTAACATGGAATCCCCAAATGCAGCAGAGGGTAAGTATATAAACTGTCTAAATAGATGGAATTCCTTATGTTCTCATGAAAACTTTAACATGGAATCCCCAAATGCAGTAGAGGGTAAGTATATAAACTGTCTAAATAGATGGAATTCCTTATGTTCTCATGAAGATTTTGACATGGAATGCCTAAATGCAAAAATGCTCTGAAAAAAAAAACAACAAAAAGAAACTGAGTTGTTAAAGTAAACTAGAAACATATTATTTAACTTTTTAATTTGGTAAAATATAATCAAGATGACTCTTGGGAAATCTGTGGTTGAGAAAGGCAATAAAAATATAGCTGTAAAGAAATCTATAAGAAATTATTATCCTTGAATTTAGTAATTAATAGTAAAAAATAGTTTAAAAATTCACTTTTAAAAGAAAAGAAATTCAACTATTAGTAAATCTCTATGTTACTTCAATAATGATTGATGAAAAGCTTTCAAATTGGATAAATTTTAAAACACCTGGTATTCAAACTCCCGACTGCTTAATGGGCAGATACATTAACATTAAGCTACTAGTTTGTGGTTCAAATCCCATTTGGTTTCAGATTTTCACATCTTAGATGATAATTTTTGACTTTACATACCAATGTTCTGCTCTTCAAGTGAGTTTTTGACCCTTTGAGAAAGTTGGTGTATATGTTGGAAACTTCAATATATTTCTATATTTCATAAATAAGTTAGAAATTGTGACAAAAAACAAGTTAATACATCACATATTTTCATATTGATTGGTTTATGGCTTATTTATTAAAATATTTTAGTAAAAACATTCTTGGAATACTAAGTTTATTTATCATTATTTATTAAAAATTTAATTGAATTACAAGATAATTAAAAAATCTTTACAGTGGAAAGTGACTTGTTAATACCAAGTTTAACATAAGAAATGTGCAAATCAACTCTAGAAATTTCTTTCTGTAAAATTTAACTTTTTCATCGTTTGGACTGTTGTTTATAAGATATAGCAGGTACAGTAGTAATTATTCCAAATTACTTTTTTTTCAGATATTTTAAAATTGTGTGATAATACTGGTGCTCATGTATCTAGTTTTTTTCATCTTACTACCTTTCCCGTAATATTTCATCTTTTATTCAATCCAAGAAAAAGATATATTAATATATATACATAAATGCTTTGGTGTTCATGAGTCCGTAGACATAAGATTCATATCCTTCAACAACTTACCTAGTAGTAGTAGTAATATATTGTAATCAGGATCCCCAGTATACATTTCATTCTACATAAATGTCAATAAATGAACATAAGCCTGCAGTGTATGTGGTACAGTACTTGAAATCATATGATAAAAACTCTTTTAACAGTGCATCACACTCAAGGGCCCCTGGATGGCAGTCTTTATGCAACCATTAGGAAAAATTCAGCAGTAAAGAATGTGTCAAAGAAGCATGAGAATACCAAACATGAGGGGTATGGTCAACCAAATGGGAGTCAGGCTGTGAGTAGGGACTCTGGAATTTCTTCATCTTCAGGTTTTCATGGATCTTGTTCTCCAGTACGTGATGGTAGTCAGTCACAGACACCTGGATTGATTAATGGGCATACTAATCAACCTTCTGTTAGTATTGTGGGTAAGACTTTAATGTGATTATTTCAGTGAACTTCCCAAGAGTTCACTGTAATTTTTTCAAACAGATTTTGTTTATTAACATATCTTATTGTTGGAATTTAAAAATTTGTTCTTTGCCAATTGTCAAAATAAAAAGGCTTTTAGTTATATTTCTTAATAGTATAATATATAGTATGTTGTTGTTGGGCTTAGGGTTCTTCTACAGTAGGTGTCTGTGACTTGTTAGCAATAAATTCAATGATGAATAAACAGCATGCACTTCACTTGTTTTCAAAATAATACATATATTCAGAACAAGTTAACATATGTTCAATAAATCCTTGAACACCATAGATATTATGGGCATATTATAAATACTGTATATGTAGTTCTCTCCTTCTTGTCAAATATCCATTAGGCCTATTCAGTTACTTTAGAATTTCAGCTGACAAGCCGACCTATCTTCTCTATTTCTATCGCACTAGTATTCTGTGTGATTCACTTACAATTGTGGCACAAGTTACGGTAATCGTTTGGTCTTCTCTCTTTTGAAGATCCTCTGTTCCTTTTCAAATTTCACTCAGGCTGATTCAATTACTTTAGAATCATGCTTTGATGGAATATAATTATTTTTATTATCTTTTTTTCTACTGTTAGTTTCACTCTAACATGTCAATCATTAAGCCTATCACTTTTATGGTAGTTAACTTCACACCAACTTTATTCTCTTTTGCTATTATCTGTCTGCTGCTTCCCACTCATCTTACGCTATTTATATCTATATTACCTAATTGTCTGCCAACCTTCTATATTCTCGACATCAATATATTGTATGTGATGTTCAATATTCTCAACATCAATGAATTATTAACAAAACTTCCTACAATCATCTGCTTTTAATTCTGATTATATCAAAAACTAAACAATAATATAGACTGCTGATGTCTAGCTTATTTGTGTAATGTAATAATTAGGAAACAATTTCTTTCTACATCAAAAACCCTTGTTATTGTTTCTACATCAATATTTCAATCAGTGGTTCCTACTTTCTATTTTCATATCTGATAATATGATATTGGTAGAAACTACATGCATGTACTGTCACATTTTTAATACACTTTATTTGGGTCCCCAGTTACTAATGAGATAAACCACTTTTGAATGTAATAATGGCTTAGGCTTATCATGATTTAGACTCCACAAGATGCTGAAGAAGTGTGTATTCAACTGTACCTCCCATTCGTTGAGAAATGTAGACCATAACTGATTCATAGATGTTGGCAGAATGGGGGTGAATGTGACATTCAAATTCATACCAAAGATCCTCATGTAATCACTAAGCATGACAGTGCTTAGTATGTAGGGATTGGCTGAGAAAAAAATGGCCATTGCATTCAATCTGTTACTCTATGATGCTTAAAAATAACTGCTAAAGTTGAGTTGTAGCCTTATTTGAGCACCATTATCGAGTGTTTCACAGGTTTTGAGACTCCCAGTATCATGGGAAAATGTTGCTAAAGTGGAGAACTGGAAACTAGCTAAAGAGCCAAAGTGTTAATCCTTCTTTTTTCTTCAATTATGGTTTGTTTGAGCAATAACGATTTTATAGAGAGTATTTTACGCTTAATTTCATACTTTTTTGAGGGGTGGTGAATAAAATAGGGATGATGACATGCTAAGAAAAAATGGGTCACGTGGGTCCCACTAGTGGAGGCCCGGCATGGCCAGGTGGATAAGGCGCTCGACTCACAATCTGAGGGTCGCGGGTTCGAATCCGCATCCCACCAAACATGCTCGCCCTTTCAGCCGTGGGGGCGTTATAATGTGACGGTCAATCCCACTATTCGTTGGT